TGAGAAAGCGGGGGGTATTCTAGGGGCACGCACACATCGTGGCACCCTATAGGGCGTGGATATGTGGTCGCCAGCCCGAGCTGTGGTTAAAGCAATTATGGTCGCTGAAGAGCGAGAACGGCAGGGCGTGTCTTTTCTTGCAGTTTAAAAAATTGTGACGTGCCTCAAGATTGGAAAGTAGCCAAGTTTGTCCATATATAAAAAAGTGGAGAGAAAAAAAGTGTTTACAATTACAGACCAGTGTCATTGTTAAGTACATTTAGCAAGGCTCTCGAACATTTCATATTTAAGCACATCTTAACTTTCCTAGAATCTGAAACTTTCTTAGTAGATTATCAACACGGGCTCCGAAGGGGCTTCTCGACAATGACACAGCTACTTCATACGGTCCACATTTTTGTTATGGGTGGTGCTTAGAGCAAGACTACCTCCACCTAAATTGCAACTGGTGGCATAAATATTGCATTAAGGAATGTTTTTTTCCATAAAATGTTGTTGTAAGGTGCGTGTCCCATCTTTAAAAAGGATTAATTTTTTTTTCCAGTTTTTTTTTTAATTTTTTTGCCTATAAAATAGTGTTTCTTTTTTAAATAAATAAATATTCTTTATAGAGCATGTACAGTGTTACTGAGACCAAGATTTGCGTTCAGCACACAGGAAACCAGAATTGATCAATTTTGAAGATAATTTTTCTATTCTACTTACCGTAAGATCCTGAGTCATCGCCCACCCCCTACAAATACCCCAATGCGGACTCCGCAATCCTCCAGCATTGACTCTACTCAAATGACGCGGCCGCGGACCTTACCTTACGGTTGGAGGACGTCCGTGACAAAGTGAAACGAAGGAGGGAAAGGCACTTCTCTTTGCATTTCCTCCCCGATTTCCGTGATCACAAAGTCGGAGTACATGCGTGCAAAAGGAAAACGATGGAGGTAACGGAATCAAACTGTTTTGCTTACAAAAAAGTTTGGTGGAACTAAAAAACAAAAAATCTGAAAGATAAGACAAGCAGTAACCCATTCAGGGATTGCGAGGTCAGCCCCAGATCCTGGAATTCGCAGAGTGTAAGGTCAAGGACAGTCTCCACCGAAATAAGGTCACCGTGAACCCACTCCTTCTCCTAGAGCATTGCGACGGCGGATGGTTAGGTTGTGCAACGTTAGAGACAAAGCCAACGGGTAAATAAAGATTTGCTGGAATGCCGCACATTGTAAAACATTCCATATCGAGCTTCGTGTTCGTGGTGCTGTCCATGCCACGCAGCAACTCCACCTCAACCTGCGTCGATAGCACACGGATGCACGCATGTATTCACCAAACAAGAAAGTTGCACAAGAGCCTTGTGATTGACAAGGCGCCCAACTCGACCCGACGCCAAAGTATTTCCCAACGCGATCTCCGGTTTTCCTGCATCTCCAGCATCGCTCTTCGCCACTTCTTTCACTCACTCGCTCGTTGCACGTGGCTGGTTGTCTTTTTTCTTATTTCTATAATTTTATGTACGTTCAGCTGGTTCAACTGAACATGTACAAACAACTATAGTTCGTTGCAACCTAAGAACGAAGGGCGAGGGTAAGACGGGTTGGGGAGGTGGAAGCAGACGGAATGCTAAAGAGAGAAGGTGGTTTCCCTCTCTCTTCTCCAGCGTTCCGTCTGTTTCCTCCTCCCCGGCCCGTTTTACCCTCGCCCTTCGTTCTTAGGTTGCAACGGACTATAGCTCACCTCATACCCCTTGTGGGTTTTCATTTTTTTGTTGACTTTTTTTTTGCTAACGAATGTTTGTCAGGGAACAAACATTCGCGCTGTATGCCGATCAGCGGTGCTCATTACGCGTATGCGAGTAACAGGCTTTGCGATAGTAAGACATTTTTTCATGAGCATTGCTTGCATGAATCAATGAAACTAATTTGAGTTTTGAGTTTAACTCATCTCTTGTGCAGCCACGCTAAATATGCACAAAAAAGTGGGCGTTTTTTTTTTTACCTTTTTCTAAACTCTTTGTGCTTACCCACCGAGACATGGCCCATCCCACCTTTTTTTTTTTATGAATTTCGTACAGCAAAGGGGGGGGGGGGGGTGGGGCAATGACTTGGGATATTAGTATTACTAATCTTAAACTGAAATCCATTGGCCCTGATAACATTCCTAACTAATTTCTTCACCCTTAGGCTGTATCACCTGATTGGCTCCTTGTTGTCATCTTCTGCTCATCATTTTCATGTGGTGTTTCCTCGGATCGGCAGATAGTTTGTGTTGTACTCATTTTTAAAGAAGGAGATTGTGTGATGCTAACTAATTATTGCCCCATATAGCTCATCATGTAAGCTCTTGGAACATATAATTTAAAATTACATGACTGATTTTCTAGATAATCATGACATCATCTCGCCTTTTCAGCATGGTTTCCGTAAAGGCATATTCGCTACCATTCACCTTATTTCTACTGTTCATTCCCTTGCTTTAGTAGTCGATAAACAGGGTCAGGTGTATGTCATCTTCCTTGACTTTAGCAAAGCATTTGGCAGGGCTTCACATTTCAGTTTCATATTTAAACTAAATTGTCTTTCCCTGTACAGTGGTAAAATAAATTTCCTTTTATCTGTAAATGCAAAAGCAATTCATTGATGCAGATGGTCATCATTCTGACCTCCTCTGGTGTTTGCAAAGGAAGTGTCATTGGCCCTCTTCTTTTTTCAATTTTATCTCCTGTATTGACAAAAGTGTAAGTATTTGCTTATTTGCATATGACTGCCTACTGTTCGAGGCTATTAACTCTACCAGTGACCAAGTCGTTTTGAATGAAAGTTTAGATGCAATCTCTCTCTTTAACTGGTCTGATCTCAGGAAAGGAAGCTTGATTAAGAAAAATCTTTGTTCATGCGTATCACTAACAAAAAGTTTCCTCATGAGTATGACTACTCTATTGGTCACAACTTCATTGCCCAAACTGACAGTTTTAATTATCTTGGAGCTATGTTTACTTACCATATATCTTGGATCTCACACATTAAATGAGTTTGTGTGTCTGCACGTTGCTAGCTAGGTTTGGTGAGGCACAAGATTAAACAAGTGTCCTCCATGTCAAACCCCCGCCTGCTGCTGGCATCACTCTTTCATTGTTGCCAATAGAGACTTCCAATAAAAAAAAAGCTATAAAAAACAAAATTTGAATTCGCAAAAAAAAAAAAAAAACATTTTGACCTAGTAATATTTGGGTTACTAGTTAGCTATGCTTGTCGGTGTATTTAGACAATTTTGATGCAAATTGGGGACCATGAAAACAATTGCACGGACGATCATGCGACATGATGCGAATGGACAGTGTCAGCTGGTGCGACATTTTAACGATATTGCATCGTGATTGAGTGGAAATTTCTGTGATGTGTCGCGCAGTGATGTGACATTTCTATCATTTTTTTCCGCGTCGCACGGTGATTGTTACGTGTGTGCTAGTGCCTACAGACAAACACTGCGTAGGCACATAGCACACGCCTTGAGGGCAGTCAGGTCACTGTCCGGGTACGACAACTGAAGAACTTTGTGGCAAGCCGCCGGCAAGGACTCCAGGTCTCGTGTCAACCACAACCGATCACACACACACAACAGCTAGTACCAAACACATTCCCGCAGATGCGCTGTACAAATTGCTTGGTCTCGCCAGCATGTCCATCCTCTTCTATGTGCCGCTTTACGTTCATGCACAGCATGATCTTGACGTTGAATGCATTCCATCCTAACACCCAGGGTGCGACTGTCGGCGCCTACACGTTGACGACATTCTCTCATGGGCGCGTTTACGCCGTTGAGCAGCCACGGCGTGCTCCGGCGTATGCTTCGGCTGCCCCATTCTTGTGCGCAAAGACTTAGAGCACCGAGAGAATGGACGACTGAAGGCGAGAAAGCGCAGGTGGCGAGGAGGGCAATCACATGACTCCCAGCGCTATTGCGATTCGCTGAATGCACTGCACCTCAACCGCACCTATTATCAGCGAAACGGCGAGGGTGTAACTGCTGTACTCACCCTCGCCCGGCACCAAAACCACTTGCAGTAAACCCATGCATGCTTCATTCGCTTTCGCAAACACAACACTCGCCCAGTACAGCCGATGCTGTAAAAAACGCCCAAGTACCTTTTTAAGCAAATGTGATGTAAGTAATATGGCTACACAGTCTTTGAGAGTTTCCTGAGCTCGTTTGCTTTATTCTTCCCGTCTTTTTTTTTTTGCTTACAATGCTGGCTTACAATACTGCTTCATTTACCGACCAACATAATATAATGTAAAATCTTAGAAGATTATTTTTCTGGCCTGAATAAGAAAGTGATGGACAGTTGCCATCCAAAACATGGTCGATGGTCGAATCATAAGTATTCCTGCACGTTTTAAAGACCATCTCTGCTGCACAAGGGAGATACTGTAAATTCATTATTTTCGCAGGCTCAATATTTTGTAAATAAGGTGAATTGTGGGCTTTGTGAACATTTTGTGATTTGGAGTGATATTGATTACCATGGCTTGATATATTTAACGCTTCAATTTTTCTCAAAAATAGGTTTCTCGCAAAAACTTTTGTTGTTTACAGTATTTTAGTGGTGGGGTGAATGAGCCTTCCAAGAGTCTTGCATTTGACCTGGGCCCTCGGCTGCCCTTACTGTAACGTCTCACGTCACTGTAAGTATTGAAATAAATTGGTCATGCCTGGCCATATATGGGGGCCATGTGCTCTCCTCGATTGAATGGCCCATTCACACAAGAGCATTACTTTACGTGTCTGCAAGTCACCGGGAAATCAGAGCTTCGTCTGTCGTGAGACAAGTTACTCCTTGAATTGGTTGCCATGCTTTGTTCGAAGCACGGATGTCCCAGTGATTTGCAATCGTAGCTCGATGTAAGCAGACGTTGGCTCTCGTATCGCGAGCAAGTGGCATTGCACGAACAGGTTTTTAGACGGCCCTTCTTGCATGGGTGGCCACTCCATGAATTGTCTGGTGTTGGTAGGCTGGACTTCCAGCCGAGCTGCTTCTTTGCCCTGGGCTCCCCGATCGCGATGTTCCTGGTGGTGCGTGGCAACGACATACTGGGCAAAGACTTCCGGCTGCCCACCTGCCCGGCCTTCTTCAACATCTTTCATCCGGTGAGGGTCAAAGCCTATCGGGCATGCTCACGGGACTGAGCTCCAAAGCTTGCACTCTGAAACACAGAGGGCATTCACTTGGCTTGAAGCTCTGTATCATGGGACGAGAGTTCACCGTCGACCACCGTTGGTGCGGTTAAAGCTGCAATTGACAGCACGTGTTGTGTATGTTCAGCTTCACTGTGGTTGGTTTGATATACAAGCAAATGATGGGGATAACTTTGTCGTGCTGAGCAGCCGCTCAGCAGGACAAAGTTGGCTGCTCAGCTGAGCAGCTGCAGCGAATCCGCCGAGTGGCACTGACGAATGCGAAGCACTTGGTGTTCTGAAATGACCATAGTTTCTGGCAGGTGACTAAAACATTTTTTATGACTGTCTAGCTTTTTATGTGGTCACCCCTATGGGTGTCAAGCTTTTTTTATGGTCTTGTCACTGGTGAGCCATAGCAGAGTTTAGCTTTTTCAGTGATTAGCTAGACTTTCCAATGGCCTATGGTTCTTTTTAGCTGGTGACTATAGCTTTGCCTTTTATATTTGTTACCCATCAATGGCTCTTTGTATGATCTGCTAAAGAATTCCCGTGGCTTTTCCCATGGTTCTCTTTAATTGGCATGTTAGGATGGCCTATAGTTTTTATTTGGTTTTCCGCTTCTCCTCATTTGCCGTTGGCGACTTTCCTTAAACAGTCATGGCAATTGACACCAAACTTTTTCCGAACTAGAAATACCCAAACCTTTCATTTTTTGGGCCGTTCGAGGCATTCTAGGTGAGCGCCACGGAGTTTCACACTGATTTTGAGGATGTTTATAACTTTATGTTCGAATGATCGAGGGAAGGCGCTCTTTGGTGGACAATACGGCATCCCGATTATCACAGAACGTGATGACTAGTCTCTCGTCTGCCGGAATGGCTTGCCGCGGAACGTCGTGTCCTATTTCGTGGTGAGCGGTCTTACTTTGGTCAGTCCTCGCACATGGGTGTATCCATCCTGATGCAGGGGCGTAGGCCTGAACGTCTTCAAGCACCACCTCGCGCACCAAGTTTTCGCGAGCAAAACCAGCCACAGCAAATTCCCTTTCGCAACACGACCGCTAGGCGCCAACCGGCAAGCCGCGCCCGCGACCACCACATGCAATCGAGGTAACGGAAGTGCGGGGCCGGGAACGAGGGGTGGCCGCCAAGGGCTTCTTGTTCCGGGAGGAAGGGTAGAAGGGTGGGAAGGGAGGCGACAGAAGGCATAAACAGGTGAGGAAGATGAGTTTGTCTCCGAAAGATGTTCCTCAGTGGGACTGCTTGCTGCGCTTCAAGTCCAAAGACAGACAAGAACTCGTCCGTCGTCGATCATTTGTCGGCGCTTGTCAGCGATTGTCGCGGGTGCCGGTCGTTGCAGTGGGACAGCATCGGCAACACGGAACTTTGTGGTGTCGTCGGACAAAAACTGGTGTTTGTCGCTGTAGTGAGGCGAGGGGAAGGATATGTCGCAAATGAGTTGTCGATTTTGAATTACGCGCCGATATCAGATGCCGCATGTCAAATCACCGTGCGCCGCCGCCGAAAAATATCCGGCACCGACTGTGCCACCGACGCCGTGCTGCTGACGCCCCCACACCGCCGCTACCGCCGCCATCTAAAAACGACCGCTACTCCGCCACGTCGCTGCCAATCGAAATGGCATCAACGATAGTTCATTTTCGCAGTGAGAAAAACACTGCTTTTTTTTGTGAATAGGTCGTTTGTTAGTTTTGTAATGTGTGTACTAATGACGTGTTTGCATGGTTTGTTTCTTTTTTTTTTTTTTTCGTTTCTTTTTATGATTTAGGCCTAAGGTTAAACTGTATCTGCCATCTGGCAACCGCCCTAACTTGTTTCAAAGTCTCCAATCCAATCCCCATCCAGATCCACTTGTGTTTCCCGCGCTCGGTATTTTTTGCAATAGGATATGTTCGCTTACATTAATGTAAAGTGTAGTGATAATTGCTTTCCAAGCATGTCTTCACCGATGCTAGTTATAAAAGGGGTCACCATCCATTTCCCGCACGAGCCGTACGATGTCCAGAAGATATACATGGAGAAGATGATTGAGTGCCTTCAAAGCGGTGCGAGCGGCATCCTCGAAAGTCCGACGGGAACAGGAAAAACGCTTTCTCTGCTCTGCTCATCGTTGGTTTAGCTCGAAGATCGCAAAGCATACCTTCAGCTGAATGCTGGAATGCACAAGAGCGCCGACACCAGTTCGTCGGGACTCCTATCACACCTCGAGCATCTGGTCGGACCTCGCAACAGTGTCGTGCCTAGCCAGCTTATCCCCAAAAATAATATACAGCTCCCGCACACATTCGCAGCTCTCTCAAGCCATCAACGAATTTAAGAAAATGAGTTACAAGTACATGAGGTCTGTAGTGTTAGGATCGCGAGATCAGCTATGGGTGGCATCCATCCGGAAGTGCAGAGGCTGCAGGGCAACGCATCGAAACTCAGGCTGGGTCGGCACAAGGTTAGCACCAAGAGCTGCCAATTTCACCTGAACTACGACACCAAGATGATGCGATTGGAGTTTCAGGAGCAATCAGTAATGGGGACATCGAAGACCTGGGCAAACTTGGAAAGAAGTTCGCCTGCTGGGTCCCTACTACAAAGCCAGGACCCTCAAGGAGAAGGCGGACATAATCTTCTTGCCGTACAACTACTGAGTGGATCCCGGATCCCAAGTCTCGAAAAGCGCACGGTGTGGACCTCGCAGGAAACGTCGTCATATTTGATGAAGCACATAACATTGAAAACATGTGCGAGGAGAGCATGTCGTTTCAATCGCTTTCTTCTGATGTGGCCTTGTGTATCAAAGAGGTGAGTCACGTGGCCAATCTGAAGCAGCAGAAAGAAACTGAATCTGCATTCGGATCAGAGGGTGCAGAGCCCGACTTCACGCTCCTGGATATTGCCAAGGTCAAGGCCATATTGTTTTCCATGGAAGGCACCCTGGACACGGCGGTGGCACAGGCCTCGGGAGAGTCAGTCACGAAGCCAGGGAACTTTATGTTTGAGGTTCTGAACATGGCAGGTGTAGATCGTGGCAACAAAGATGAGCTCCTCGATCTCTTGGATAAGACGGTGACTTTTCTGGAAGTCAATGCAGTAGGAGCCTTCAGCCCGAAGGGGACTGGGTTTAAACTGGCTCTCAACGACTCTGAACAGCCTTTACACTGTTGAGGGTGATGGATCCTCAGTGGAGTCAATTTTCAAGCAGAAGTACAAGGTGCAAATTCAAAAAGATATAAATAAGAAACAAGGGCCCCAAGATCTTTGGACAGTGTCTAAAGCAACAAACAAGAAGCCAGACTGGACACTGAGTTGCTGGTGTTTCTCGCCGAGTGTCAGCATGACTAACCTGCTAAAGCAAGGCATCCACAGCATCATCCTGACCAGCAGAACACTCTCGCCCCTCGGGTCATTCGCATCTGAACTGGGTATTCCATTCCTTGTACAGCTAGAGAATGCGCACGTCATCTCAGAGAAGCAGATTTATGTGAGTGTGCTTAGCAATGGGGGGGGGGGGGGGGGGGGGGGGGGGGGGGGGGGGGGGGGGGGGGGGGGGGGGGGGGCGGCTGTGACAGACAGTTGTTAAACTGCACCTGTGAGAACCGAAGCAACACCAGCTACAGTATTTGGCATCTCTTGGTCGGAGCATCAGTAACCGGTTGAGTTTTGGACCTCAAATGGAATTATGGCTTCCCTTACCCTAGTTAAGCCTGTTGTAATGGAAATGCAAAGAGGCGTCGACTTCTCTACACTCATCCAGGAGTACTACGAGAATGTGAATTCGGCTGGGGGGAGAAGAAAGGCTGCATTCTCATGGCTGTTTGTAGGGGCCGCATAAGTGAAGGAATGGACTTTGCTAAGGATCAGTATGCGCGGGCAGCTGTTATTGTAGGCTTCCCCACTTTCTTCGTGCTTTGATCCACGAGTCCAGCTGAAGAAGCAGTATCTCGACGAGTCCGCATCAAAGAGTACCTTCTCGGGAAATGACTGGTACCTTCTTCAAGAGCTGTTAATCAGGCCACTGGGCGTGTGATTCGGCACCAAAATGATTTTGGAGCAGTCCTGCTTTGTGACAAGCGCTACAGCGAGAAACGCAATCTGAGCCAATTGTCCAAGTGGATAAGGGAAAGGACGAGGGTGCGGTCAAATTTTGGCACAGTTTTAAGGGAGCTTTCCAGCTTTTTCAGGGGACCAGGCACGAGCAACAGGAGTCGCACAGCAGCTCTGAGAAGCGGCGGACTATCCTCGACAAAAAACGACCGACTGCCCAGTAACGCTTTTGGAATCTCTTCGAGTACCCACAGCAAACCTAGTGAAGGGTGTGACTCTTTTAAATCTCCTGCAGTTGATGAAGTGGCCAGTGATGTTCTGCTGAGCTACATGCCTCAAGTGGACAATGAAACAAGATCTGCAAGAAGTGTGGGGAAAACTCGACTCAGCATCTTTGATGCACTTAACACGACCCCTGTGTCCAAAGCAGTGGACTTCTCTAGCTACAGCAAAATAAACTTCCGTTGTGACGCTGGCACGGACAGTGAGTTTTCCCAGAAGACGAAAAGGCGAAAATATCTGGTGCCATTGAAAGGCATCGAACCAACCACAGGTGCCTGCTCGTCACGGGAAAGTGCTGCCTCTTGTAGCAGTGCAGTTTCCAGTGATGCTGCCTCCAACAGCACTGCTCCCACTTCCAAGGACATTTGGAAAAACATGCTAGGCTCCATGAAGAAAAGTCTTGGGGATCACGACTACAACTCTGTGTGAACCTTTGTCCGGACACAGGACTCTGATGCGCTTGCTCAAAGCCTCGCACACTCCCTTCTCAGTGCCTGGGATCGGGAACCCTTGCTTGCACAGCTAGCAAGAGTGGTGTCCTCATAAGGCCCGCTTCAGACGGAGCAATTTCACCCAGCAACTTCACGTCGCAACACCAGCAACACCGGCCGCCCGCGTTCACACGCAGCAACCGAATTGCTCTGACTTGCCATCATCATCATTAAATTTGATTCTTCTTTCACTATTTAGACGCCCAGCTACGCGCTAAAAACGCGTTCTTATATCTTTGAACGGCGTTGAGAATACTAACTCATTTTTCTGCAACTGTTTATTTCCGAAAACGATCCATTCCAAACCAGAACTAAGTCTTTAGCTGTCATCATCACCACCATAGGGGCGTCACGTGAAAATATTGCGTCTCTGATTGGCTGCAGCCACTTCAACCGTCTTCGAATTGCTCCGAGTTGCTCGCCTGTTCGAGCCGGACCCGATCTCAGCAATTCGCGTCGATCTAGGGGAAGCTAGGGAACAACCCGCCAGCAACCTCAAAATTGCTGGAAAAGTTGCCCCGTCTGAAGCGGGCCTAAACAAGGAAAGACTTCGTGCTCAAGTGCCGTTCTCATTGGTGAAAAGGTTACTTAGAGGACAGAGCTGACTTTTATTTACAAAGTCTCTGACCAAATGACTGTTCTAGAAGAAGACCAATCACATTTATTCTTTTATTCAACCTGCTTTGATTTTGGATGTATGTAAAATTTACAAAAATGTTTTTATTTTCATCTCTGCTTGAAAATGGCACGTTTGGCTATTTTGTTTGCAATGGAGGACTGTTCTTTTGTGATTTCCTAACCTGACCAAAAGTATAAACTTTGTTTCTTTTGTGTTCTTTACAACAGAAATTATAGCAAACATGTCTATAAATGCACTTTTAAAATAAAATCTTGTTTTCCATTTTATGCCTCTTGCTTTGTTACTACGTATGCCGTTCTAGTGGTCTTCGAGTGCAAATGTTTTTTGCCGATAGGCCTAGTATTTCAGCGAGCTTGGAGGACTAAACATTGTCTCCAAATAGTGCCAAATGGCACCAACTTCAGCTTCGCTGTTTGTGCGAAAGAAGGCGCCGACAAAGCGCAGCACAATGATCAAACAGATCAACAAACAAGTGCGCAGTGAACAATATAAAGTGGAAGTTGCACGCGAAACTAAAATTGGCATCAATCAAGTGGAAAGTGGCCTATAGGTTGTTTGCACATGACGTCAATCCGCCGTTTTGTTGTTAGTTTGTTTTTTCAAACAAATTTACTACATTGGAGGATTACATCGTAACCGGTTGAGTTGATGTCAGCGGTGCTCTACGCATTTGAGGGGGCATGTAAATCCTTGGAATGCTCGAGTTTGGAACACGCCAGACAGCTCACAACAACAAAATGGTGGACGAAATTACGTCAGTGAAAACACCCTATACACAGGGGAATATGTGCGGAAATGTGATAATTTGGCTGAAATTGATTTTTCGGACCGCTTCATTATTTGGACAATTTTGGGGCCCCCTCCGAGTCCGAAAAATTGGTCGGCGACTGTACCTGTATCGGGGTATTGATATTGAAGATACATTTAAGTGCTTAGATTTATAGAGCAAGGTCTTAGCGCTTTCGTGTCTGCTGATGTAGTCTCGATAGAGCGTGGAGCATGCAGCGCAGAGTGCACTCACCGGTTGAACCCTCCGCGTGCAATGGTGACTAGTATACTCTTAGAGCAAAGACTTCCCTCAGTGTGCATTTGGCGGCAGCCAAACTGCCTACAGATCCTATGAAGGTTTGCGGGCTTTCTGGAGCACCAAAGCGGCGCAGGAGTGACGTTGGCAGGCACGACAAAGTAATGAAGGAGGAGCGATGGACGCAGCTGCAAAACGAGAGCACCAGACCGCGACAGGAAGCCAGTTGCCATCGCACAGCGGCCGGCAGTTCAAACACGAGTGTACGGACAACATGTTTGGTTGCGACAGGTTGGAGTTTCGCACGGACGTAAGGTTAGGTGTTCTAAATGTTGTGCACACGGTGGCTCTGCATTTAGAACACCTTTGTGAATGCCAAGGAAACGGCCAACTTTTAGCACACAGTGTGTTTTATGCGGGTTTTCTATGAAAAAATTGTCATAAACGAGCGTTGTAACGAGTGTCATTACAAGCGTCATGACCGAGTGACACGCTGGGAGCTAAGGTTATATACAGGGTGAGAAAACGTGATTGCGTTTTAAGACAAGGACAGAGGAAAAACGGACACCACAGAGCGCTAACTTTCAACTGATAAATCAGTTGAAAGTTAGCGCTCTGTGGTGTCTGCTCTTACTCTGTCCTTGTCTTAAAGCGCAATCATGTTTTCTCACATACAATACCAACTCGCCCAACAATCGGCACTTGTTATATACAGGGTGTTTCATATAAGAGTGGCACTATTTAAAATAAAAGGGAACTTGAAATAAAGATGCGATTCCTTTGGGATTACGTTGTCCACGGTGGTGGACGTAAGGACGCCAGTGCAAATTGCTCATTAGATACTTAATTAACAATAAGTCGTTAATTAAATTTTTAGCCTTTTGTTTTAGATAGCATGTTAGAGATTTGCAGCCCGTCGTTTACTGAGGCTTAAGTAGTTGAGAGATCTCAGAAAAAAATTTGACTTTGTGTTATTGAGTGACGAATTTTGGCAATCACAGCAGCAGGAAATTGAAACTAACTCAGAAAGAGCATGCCAGGAGCGAAACAGTTTTGCTGCCGAAGAGGCATCAGGCTGTGATGTGGGGTGATGCTTAAGTTGCTGTGAACACATGACCAAAAGCTATGGCCCAATCCCAAATTGGCTTGTGGGAGCAGGTAGCAAGCTGATTGGGAAAAACATAAATGATTGGAAACGACATTTATACTCGAGAACTAGGGGTTGTATTACCGGTTTAGAAATAATTGAAATGCCACATGATGGGTGCTACACCTGCTTTAAAAAAAATTACGGTATCAAACTTTTAAAAAAATTGGACCTTTTAATTTTTTTACTTGTACTTGCAACAGCGTCGCTTGTGGTGACATAATTTAGAAATTTAGTAGGGCGGAAACCTTCAAGTTCTTGGACCAGTAGGTAGTTTACCTAAGGACTGTGGTAGCGCCAATCTGATAGTTGAAGTAAAACGGGCGCAAGAGAATTAATGCAGCGCAACTCTAGATGTGTCTTCTGACCTGCAGCCTGATCTTCTGCCTTTGTGTTTGCAGTTTGACCCGGTGGTGAGTGGGACCCTGTGTTGAGCGGCGCTGCCCTGACAGCTCCCCACCGTGCAGGCATACCGCATGGAGAGGCTGATAGACCCTGAGCTGAGTGCCAGCCCCGTGGTTGTCCCACACCACAGGGGGCGCAAGCGCATGCACCTGGGTGAGATGACGTCCCACAAAGATGACACGCCACTAGCAGAGTCCGTCAAGCAATGCCAGCGCATTTTCATTGCCACACGATTCGCGCCAAAGTTCTTACCCTGCTACGTTCACATAGGGTGCGTACCGCACGAATCGCGCTTCTCACTGGCTGCCGGTGTATTAAGGAGGAAGGACACCCACGAAGTGGACACCATGCAAAGCATGATTTGTGCAGTGTGTGCTGTTTTCACAAAGTGTAGCATGTTCGATATACACTGCGTGTCGTACGACAACGAAAGCACGCTTGTGTCGCGCATGCTACTCTGGAAATGCTGAATTGCAATAATCATCGTCTCCTCTCTAGATCATTAAAATGAAACTTGCGCTAACAACTTGAAAAGGAACCTTATAGAAATTTCAGAGTAGCAGCTTGCAATTCGCTTCAGCTTCAGGATTCTTCAGCCCTGAGAAAGCTGAATAAACTAAGCGAAACAATGCCTGCCACTAGTCTGAGGCTTTCAGGAGGTTCTTTTTCAGGTTCTTCCCACTTGCTTCAACCATACCTTTGTGTTTTGCTTACGGCGTTACACTTACAATTGTGCCTGTCCCTGGGAACGTTGCATCTCTAGCGTCAAAAGAGACAAAAACAAATTGGCAGCGACTTTTATATTTAAAGTCCTTTAATGCATGGAATGCAGTATTTAAGGAGCAATATTTTAGATTTGTTTAGAAGACATTACCGTAATATTCAGTCATTGTTCACCCCCCTGCCACCTGAAATTCATAAGAAAAGTGGGGTGGGCCAAGTCTCGGTGGGTAAGCACAAAAAGATTAAAAAAAGCTAAAAAAAAAACAACAAAAAAACGCTTGTTTTTAGGAACGTATCTAGCGCAGCTGCACAAGAGATATATTTAACTCAAAACTCGAATTAGTTTTATCGTTTTATAGAAGAAATGCTCACAAAAAACTGTTTTGCTATCCCAAAGTCTGTTGCTTGCATATGTTTGATGAACATCGCCAACCGGCATAGAGCGCAAATGCTTGTTCCATGAAAGCACTTTTCTAAAACTGCCATGTTCCCTTTGTTAGTAAAAAAAAAAAAAAATAAAGAGTCAACAAGAAAATCAAAATTTGAGCGAGTGCGCGAGCGGGCGAGAGAAGTGACGAAGAGCGATGCTGGGGAAGCCTGCAATCGCGTTGGCTAATACCTTGGCGTCGGGCCAAGTCGGCCGCTTTGTCAATCGCAAGAAGCAGGCTCTTGCGCAACTTTCTTGTTTGGTGCGTACATGTGTGCATCCATGCACGGCGTGCTATCAAAGTGGGTTGAGGCGGCGTTGTTGTGTTGCATGGACGGCAACAGAGCTCAAGATGGGACGCTTTACGAACATCTGCATGCCGCATTACAGCAAATCTTCATTTACTCGATGGCTTTGTCTCGATCATCGCACAGCCTTACCAACCGCGGTCGCGACGTTCAGGGAGAATGATTGGCTATTCGCCGTGTACAGTAAAACCCCGTTATAACAAAATGGGATATAACAAACTAATGGATATAACAAAGCAATTATAATTCCCCTTGCTTGCTAATAGTGGGAAGAAATGGACATTGGCTATAACAAACTAATGGTTATAACGAAATAATTATGACCACTCCTTCAACTTTGTTATAACGAGGTTTTACTGTATTTCGGTGGAGACGGACTTTGACCTTCCACCTTGAACTTACGCTCCGCGGTTGCATTCCAGTATATGGGGCGTGCGCTGAACTCGCAGTTTCTGAATGGGTTACCAATTGTGTTATCTTTTCGATTTTTTTTTTTTTTTTTTTGGCTGATCAAACTTTTTTATAAGCAGAACAAAGTTTTGTTTTGTTATCTTCATCGTTTTCCTTTCCATGCATGTACTCTGACTTCGGGGTCGCGGAAATCGGGGAGGAAATGCGTGAACAAAGTGAAGTGTCTTTCCCTTCTTCGTTTTACTTTGTCAAGGACGTCCTCCAACCGTAAGGTTTGCAGCTGCGCCATTCAGGTAGGATGAATGTTCGCGTACTGCGGAGTCTGCATTGGGGTATTTGTAAGGGTGAACGATCGCTCAGTGTCTTTCTGGAAATCGATATTCGCCCAAAAATTGGGGTGTGCGATGACTCGGGGATGGGCGATGACTCAGGATATTACGTTAAATGTCGCATGACGTTATGGTACCAAGTCATGGTGTCGTTAAACCTGACGTCACGCGACTTGGTCACGTGACATGACGTCATGTTTCACCGCAACTTGATACCCAACGTTACTATATCCAATATCATTGTTGACCGGTTGTTCCAACAGGTCCTGCCATGGGGTATCCATGGATGCACGGTCGGGTAAAGTCCTGGGAGTAGTGTTCCGTGCTTGAAAAAACATTCAACGCCATGAAACGACGTTGAATTTAAATGTGGCACACTGTACATTGTTTCAGATATCAGTCATAGTCAATATAGATTAGAACACAAGTAAGTTGGGTGTACGTATTGGAACTTTGTCTATCCGGTCCCACCAGAGTGGGCAGGCCGCTGGCGACACGCACGCAAGCAGAATGCCGCACACACTCGCATGTAATCTCACTGAGCCAGAAGCTACTTTGTTGCGGTCTAATTTCAAGTACAGAAGCGGTTCAGTTCGTTCAGTCTCTCCCCTGCCAAGCTTACTGGCGTAGTGACGGTGATCACAATGTTGACGTGGTTGCTTGAATCGCCCCTGAGTGACAACAGTCGAGTGTGACTCAAGGATTGAATGCGAGCACCGTGTGAGTGCTCGAAAACTGCAGTCACGGCTCTAGTGGACATTCAGGCTGGGGCTCGTGTGCAATGGCTGCGTGATGGCATAATCCAAACTCTAACAATGCCCACTGAACACTCTTCCACCCGGCTCAAAAACAGCGTTCCTTGGACTGATTCCGGCAACTGTTCACCACTCCACAGTGCCTCCCTCGCAACCGAGAGGACCAGATCCCCATTAGAGTGTGCCACAGCCGCCACCGACAACAAGGGTGGGAATGTAGGTTTCTGAGCGGCCTTCTGGGCTGGTTAGGGTGACTCGGCCTATGGGCATTGTGCCACTTGAGCCCCGGTCGTTGCACCAGGCAGTACCGATACCCGCTCAAAGCCAAAGCCCAGCACAGCACTTGAGGAGAACACTGCTGCTTCCTCTCTTGACTAAAAGCGTGGGTCCGTCCACACACCAGAGTTGGGAGCTTTTTGGCAGTCGATTTTGTTAACAGTGTGACCCTTTTAAAGGCAGCACTCTCCTTCCCCGAGACACACTTCCACTAGATAGGGAGTTTGAAGGGAAGCTGGAAGCAGCTTTAGTGGGACCGACGTGATCACTATTCAAATTTTGCCGTAGCTCCGGCTCCTGCTGCCTGCCTAGCGTAGCAGAGGAAAGGAGGAAGAAGGAAAACTAGCTAAAGCGTCGTCATCGATTGCGTCAGGTGACCCTCGCTCGCCTTTCAGTTGGCTCGGAGGTGCCAACGATGACATTGCAATTTTTTTGACGGGTAACAGGCGGCACATACATTTGCCGCATGCTCTGTGACAAGTGCTGCATGTTTACTGGAAATAAAGGCGATTTACGCAGGATCCCTATAACCGAAATCAGAATGACAAAAACCAACAGGAGGCCTCTCCTAACTCAGCATTTTGGAAAGGGCTTTTGCTTCCCTTTAGATGTGGGACGTGCTGCATGGCGCGCTACTTTCATTGGTTGTGCAGCATCACACATAAGCTGTTAAAAAACACACAACCTATTAAAAAATAAATGTTTCTACCTGGTTAGGACAAGCAAATGTCAAAATAAATGTTTGTAGAAAAAACTTTTTTTTTTTTTTCCCATTATTTATGTTGCAATATAAATTATTTGATTTGCGGGCAAAACTGAAATTGTACCCCTGTGGGATGATGATGATAGCGTTTGTACCCAACTAGTGTGCACTCTGTGTTTGCTGGACCTTTGAGCGCACACTAGTCAGGTACAAACGCTGTCATCATCATTCCACAAGGCTACAATTTCGGTTTCACCTGCAAATTGAATAGTTTGTATTGTAATGTAACATAAATATTGGGAAAAAAAATTTTTTTTCTACAAACATTTATTTTGAGACATGTCTGTCCTAACCAGGTAGAAAAAAAAATGTTTTTTTTCCCTAGGTTTAGTGTTTCTTAAGTGCACTTGAAAGAGAGTAAGCGAGCAAGGGGGGAGACACAACCAAAGGAACAGTAAAGGCCAAAGGAGATTAAAGGAGATTGAGGTAGAGGACTTGATGAGACTGCTGCCAATACTAAAGGCATCGGTGACATCCAATGCCAGATCCTCGGCTCTTCCCTGCATCACTGCAGTGCACACGGTGGCTTTCGCACCGACCTTGCAATGCTTGCATTCTGTGCATGAAGTGCAGACATGGGTGCTACACGGGGCTTTGAATGAACTGACTTATCATTGAGCAACATTACTAACTCGTGTGTGGGGAGTCACTTCATGGCAGCTGCGCTTTTCGGTATTTTGTGCACAAATTACGAGCATTCAAGAGGCGCTTTTCCTTCCTTTGCTTCTTTGACCCTCTGCAGTGTCCAGTTATTGAATGCTGTATTCTTTTGCATGGACACCTACGACTGCTATGTCAGGACCTAACAAAAAAGATGCTGAGTAGTGCAATAGTTTCGCTGGCAAAATCAAAAGCCTCAAACAAAAGGTGAAGTCGGTGTAGCTGCCTATTGCTTCGGGGAGCTTGAACTATTATAAAATGATCAACAAGTCAATTGCTGCTGCCCGGCCATTTGTTGACCTTGCAAAAGACTTATTTATAAAAAAAAAAAATGAATAGGTAGCAAACTGAAGCGAAGTAGTAGGTTATTAATTCATCTTACGAGCTATACTGAAAGTTGACAGGAAAGCACATCTATGCAACTCTATCAAAGAAACAGGTGCGATTGTGTAGCTATCTGGAATGCTTGGTTTGCACGAGGTGCAAAGAAAGCATCTTTTGATGGACTCATGTTTGGGTCTCCCATAATACCAGTGTTGCGTCTGAAGCTTGGTTTCTAACCAATGAGAGAACCCACTGGCACTATCTGTTGGGTAGCCTTGGAACGTTTTCCATCTATGACTAGACTCAAGGTTTTGCTGTATTTGCGAGATCAAATCAATGCACGGTCACACGTTATCATAATTATCTCAAGCTCACGGTGAATAGACACAAAGATGGAAAGTGTTCCAGGGCTGCCCAATATATGGCGCCGGTGGGTTCTCGCGTTGGTTACATAGCATACTCGATCAAACTGAAATGAGAATGCCTGAACCGGCCTTTTCCTGATAGCCGAACAAAGTGGATTTCTAAGTCAAAATGTTGCCATCTGTCGCACTCCTGGAAGGCATGAAAATACTCGTTGATGTATACTTATTATTTGGACGTTTTTCCTCGTAACAGCCATTTAATTATTTCTATGTCCCTCGTCAAAATAGCCGTCCCGTTATTTTTAGGTCTCCCATCCGAATAGAAAATTTTGATGGGTGTTAAGTCTCCCATGAAAGCATTACATGTTTTCGTTTGATGGGCGTGGCATTGCTTGGGAAAAATATTGGTGTTCAGCTCGACGCCCAGCTTAAATGCCACCCAACACAATCCGGTTGGGTCTCGTGTTTACACCCTGACAAAGAAAAATCATGGGCAAGTGAGAAACGAGCCCACCTCTCGGACCCCTTGCACCAAGCGTGCTTCTTTCAAACATATTCCCACAGTATCTGAAAGGTAAGTTTGAAGTCGTAACTTCTTATTCTATGCAGCTAGGGGCCTGTGAAATGGAAAATTCCCTGCAAGGAACGTTGTGACGATGGGTTGAATTTACACCATTACAATAATGCAAATTGATTGCACCGCAGAGTAGCTCATTATATGAATGCAGGAAAGGTCATACCAGAAGACCTGTTGTGCCGCTTTTCTATACCCACAATGATCTGGGTAAAATCTTGTAAATATAGTGCATTGGCTGTTTTGACAGGGGACGTCGAAATAACAAAATGGCTATTTTGATGGAGAATGCTAAAATAAAATTCTCTTTTAACTGGGGACGTTAAAATAATAATATAAAATTATTGTGTTTTCTGAAAGTGCCGTCACAAACATGAAGGAAACACCTCCCGTTATTTTGATGACGGACGGAGAAGGGTAGTCGCTGCCTCAAGTTTTTTATTGAAGCACATCGCAGCTTTGTCCCGGGCAATTCTGGTCCTGTCCACACGGGGTATCTCTTCGCTGCCAACGGGCTAAATGAGCATATGGGTGGCACTGCACGCGATAGCAGAGGACAAATACATCTTTTCGGTTCTCAACTCGCGATTCAGTTTCGTGAGTTTCTGTTAGTTCTTGTGGCCCACCTTTGGACTGAGAAATGTTGAGGAAAATATTTTGTTGGTATATTCTGCTCTGAGGAGAAAAACATGACAAACTACAGAGTGTCCCCCAAAAAAGATTTACGCCATTTTTTTTTCATAGAAAAAAAATAAACTATGCATTGCCAGGCGCTCGTTCTCCGCCCAGATGTAGTGCTAGCAGTCCGAACCAGATTCCAAAGTTTCAGAACTAACCGTTATCTTATTCAAAACTTATAAGTGATTCTCTGAAAATTTCAATGGGAAAATGGCGGCCGACAGAGCTCTCGAATACAGGAAGGGGTCCCTTCAGTTACAAAGAATGGGCCTCGTTTTCCCGTTGAAATTTTTCAGAAAATTATAACTTTTAAACAAAATAACAGTTAGTTCTGAAACTTTGGCATCAGGTTCGGACCGCTAGCGTCGTATTTGGGCGGAAAATAGGCATTCAGTGACGTGTAGTTCATTTTTGCGGTGAAAAAAACTAACTTTTTTTTTTGGAACACGCCATAATTTGAAGCTTTTGGAATTGTGGCAAGTGCATCCTCGGAGTGTGCGCCTTTACGCTGACCTGACGGATGGTGCAGAGCTGAAGGAGAGCCTCCGCCGGGTGGGGACGGACCTGCGCCAGCGTCTGCTGGACTCGTGGCGCTTGACGTGGCACTCGCTTCACGACCTGGCCCACGGTGCGTCGGCCAGCTCATCGGCCTCCCTGGCAACGATCGATGACAACTCGGGCAAGTATCCTCTTTCGTTTCTTGCAGCCGGTTCAGGGTGTGCCACGAGGGTTGTTTAGAGCCACTGTAGTTGATTCCCAGAGTAAGGACGATAGGCGAATGTGTTAGACACATGATGCCAAAAGCAGTTGTGGTCTTCTCCGTTTTGTTCCTGGAAAGTGCCGTGGCAATGGGATAGGTAGCATTGCCCAGTGGCCGTTTTACGAGTTTTAATGCGAAACCATTAACTGGTCCCATGGAGCGAGCCGACGTCATCAGCTTTGAAGCTGCGCCAAACAGAGCTAAACTTCCCTCTCTCAATGGAGCGAAGGGAAACCGCGACCTGAAGGCTCCCAGTTTTGAAGCCGCACCAACAGCCACACCAACAGCCGCATCAAACGGCAGCTAAATTCACCTTTGCAAAGGGGCAAAGTGAAGACGTGATCTGAAACCTCTCAGCTTTGAAGCCACGCAAAACGGCAGCTAAATTCACCTTTCCAAAAGGGGCAAAGTGGAGCCGATTTATGATGGATAGTCTCCTATTGGCTGGCACACGTCATCAAGGAATGAGGTTCCCATTGGCTCTCGTGCGGCGTAGTTCCAAAAACCGCCACCAGAGAAGCCCTCTCCATGGTGGCGCAGCGCACGCAGCGGCCTGGTGAGGAGCGGCGTTGCGGGCCTGGCCCCAGAGCCCATCCAAGCAAACTCCACAGAGGTTGTACGGCCAAGCTTAGTGCGGCGCGGCCACTTCACGAGAGCATGCACTCGACCGTCGGCAGTGCCGAAACGTGGCCGTCCACGCCATTGTGTTGCAGATGAACTAAGGGAGTGGAAGAACAACATTCATGCTTTTGCGTTCACAACTCATAAGAAGTGCTTAGGTGTCCTTGGACTTTTCCCCTCTATGAAAGATGTGCTTTAGGAGATTTGATTTTAGTTGGTGTGCTTTAATTAGGATGTTTGCTTTAGGGGCTTTTGTAGCTCTGTTCGTCCAAGCATGTTTTTTTAAGTTTGACATCATACAGTGATGTGAATATTGGTATGAATTATTGGACATTGGACAAACAGAGAAGCGGTTATAAGATGAAGTCTACCGCAGATTTCTATTGCTCTTGCCAGTTAGTATATGTTTTTTATGTTTACGGAGGTATTCTGTTCCCTCATTCATCCATACGCACGGTACTGGTACTTGTCGACTCAGTCAACCACGTTCTTGTACCTAGAGGTCTTCACGCTCGTTGTCATTAAAAATCACTATTGCGCATGATTATGCTGCCCAGTACTGGCCACACCAAGACAGGTCACAGATGTCTGTACTGCACACAGTTTAACGGCTGCTCTATGCATGCTGGCCAGAGGGGGGGGTGATTAAAGTGAACTATGTAGCAATCTGTTCAAAGTGCAAATGTAACAGTTATTATAGTTATCCTATTTAAGTTCAATTTTGAAGTTGTTGTCCACCTCTAGTTTGGTTTCAGTAGCCCTATAAAACACGAGTTCTCAAACTCAATTCCTAGGGACCCAGTCATTTGTCAAGCTCCCAAATTTCCTCGACCCTCCGTGCCCTTGAGTAAAGTGTATTTTCTGAGCTCTGTTTTAGCAGACCCGAGCCAGACATTTGTGCCATAACTGTGGGCCAAACTCTCCTCAATAATACCTGCATTATTAGTTGCAACGTGCATGAGCTTTTGCACTGCTTTGCCACATGTATGCCGAGACTGTGGGGGTTTGTCAGTGGCCATTTGGTGCTGGAAGGGGTTCCTCCAGATGGAAAAGTTTGAGAATTCCTGCTCTAAAGGAAGTAGCACTTGCAAGGAAGGAAATGCATGAATAAACTATGCATCGCAGAAAGCTCAGACTCCGTGAGAATGTGACACTAGCGGTTGGTATAGAACGCAAAAGTTTCCATGACGTTGCTTGGATCGAAGGATAGTTAAAAAAGACGAGCCGACGTCCACCTAAGCCTAGTAGTATCGTCAAAACGGGAACTGAGATTGTGGATGCATGTGCCATTGATATCGGTGAAAAGAACTTGTCAGCGAGAAAGAAAACAATATTTTATTTCTTGCTGACAAGATTTTTCACTGATATAAATACCACATGCATCCACAATCTCAGTTCCTTGTTTTGACAACATTAGGCTTAGGTGGACGTCGGCTCATAGAGAAATTTTGTCTTTTTGAATTATCTTTTGATATAAGTGAAGTCATGTTCTCAAAATTTTGTGTTCTATCCCAACCATTAGTGCCACCTTCTCACGAAGTTTGAGCTTTCTGCGATGCACAGCTTATTTATGCGAGCCAGAAAACTCGTGGATCTCTTTTCTCACGAATGCGCGGTACTTGTAGGAAGCTTCTTGAGAATGAAGCGGAAGAATTTGAAACATGTTTGTCTTCTCATAGCTCTCACGTTCAAGTAGTACAAGTGTCTCGCAAACTTTCAAGTATGGAACTGGCAATGTCACCTTGCAGCTAGTGAAAGCGGGGCCTGTGCGGAGGCGGAGCCACCTCCCGAGAGCCTGGGCCGGCTGAACGGCGGCCGACGCATAGACTATGTGCTGCAGGAGAAGCCCATCGAGAGCTTCAACGAGTACCTCTTTGCTCTGGCCAGCCACGCCTGTTACTGGTGAGCCGAAACCCCCTCCAGAATGTCCTCTCCAGAGCAACGGGCCAGGGCTCGACGGGCCCGAGCACCTCAACGGTCGTCCTGGCTCCCCAAGAGCCCCTTGGGTTTGCCCTCTCGGCCGTTGGGCATCTTGAATTGCTTTCCAGGTCTCCATTCGAATGCTCTCGGATCTGCTTCAGTTGCTCACCCTCCCTCGCGTTCCAGTTAGAAGTGGGATGAAAGCTGCTGAAAGGCATTTCCAGGAAACACAATTTGGCACCAGGAAAAAAGAGAACCTTCTTCAACCACACTCGCTGGGTTTGACGTGTTCATAACCTTGTCAGGTTCTATTAATTTCAATAGGAACAGCATTCAACGAAGTCCTGTTGGGAATGTCACTCAGTGAGCCAACACTCAAGCCACGAAATATGAGAGCACGTGCTCAGGCTGATGGCACCAGTGATGTACATGCTGTCTGCTACATTTTCCCTGCTAAAAGACCCACTGCAATGCCAAGCTTATTTGCTGAGCTTGCTTGCTTGGCACAGATTGCGAATCAGACAGCGAATCTTTTGGACCTGGGACTTTGGAAGGTTCTATGGGGAAACAATGCTTTCCTCTGGTTGACAATTAAACTAATTGGGAACAGGAAGTCGTCTTAAAATAATAATGGTCTTCATCCAGGACCTCGAAAGTGATGCTACCAATTCTTTTCTATGCCACGCCCTTGTTGTGGTGCTGCACAATTTTAATGGATGCTTGATCCACACTTTGATTTACTTCGGATGAGTGCATGGTCTTTATATTTGTGGACATCTAGATACTCGGACAGTTTGAGAGATGGCTCTACCAAATCAAAGACTGCCCTGTAGTGCCTTTCAGTTCAAAACCTGACGTGGTGGCTTCCTAGTAGTGATATGAGGAGCTATGCATTATTGCATCAAGAAGTCTTAGGTGCACTTTCCTCCATCCTTTTCCCTTGCTCAGCAAAGAATAATCTTGAATGTTTTCATAAAGCTCTTAGCGTGACCTTGCAATTTCAGATGATGAGGTGTCGGGTGAAGATGGTAAATACCAATAAGAGTCAGAAACAACTTCAATTGGGAACTAATGAACTGAGGTCCATTGTCAGTTACCACTTTGTCTGGCAATCCATGGTGCAGAAATATCTCTTGAAAGGCATTTATGGTGGCTGATGCTCTTGTTGATGTCACTGATATGACTTGCGACCATTTGCTGTATGCATCAGTGATGATAAAGTAGTTGTTTTCAGGGTGTAAGTGAGAGGACATTCTCTTTAAGGGGGATATGGCCTGGGAGGGTTAATTTTTGAACCCCTCACTCAAATTGATTCAAACTTTCAGGAAGAATAGATTCCTATTAGGAATGATGACATTAAAGTTTCAGCCTTATAAGCCAATTCTCCAACATGCCATGCTTATCAAGCTCTAGAAAAATGTGGCTTCATTAGGAAATGTATTAAAAAAAAATTGCAATCTACAAAAATATTTTTAATGTGATGCAGAATACCCATAGAGCAATTTAAGCTAAAAAATAATTGTAGAAAATGTAATTTTGCAGAAAAACAGTAACACCCAAAAAGAACAAAGTTTTTACAAATTTTTGTGTTTTAAAATATTCTGTTATTATCATGAAAGAGTGAGTTGAGTTGTTTTCAGGTTATGGGCATCTTAATTTGTTTCTTAGGACAATTCAGTCTAGGACACCCCTGAATGAAGTGTTTAGACTTTAAAAACATCAAATGATACATTTTCTCGTACAACATTTCCTGCCAAAAAGTGAAACTGAGAAAAATGCATTTGAAGTTTCAACTTCATGTTTCTCTATTTTTTATGAGTTCCAGGCATACAGAATTCACCTGGAGCATAGGTAACACTTTCCTCTTTGAGATTTCATTGTTCCACTGGCAATACCTACCAGCTAGCATTGTTGGTGGGAGGTCTAGGCCAATTCGTCGAAAGCCAACTCGCCGACAGCCTATTCGACGTTAAAAATCCAGAAGTCACGTATACTTAATGGAACGCCCCATGTTCTGTTATCCCAATACCCTTTGTTTGAGAAATGGCTCATATAAAAGAGCACATCCAATCAACAGGGTCAACAGTCGCTTCACAGAAATCTGACCGAATCCACACGGAGCTCATTTCAGGCACCTTTTGAGGTCTCTCGTGACCGCCGACGACGAGAGAACACACTACATATTACACACTGGTGCCATCTGTCAGGTACAGTAGGCTCGCGGTAATTCAAACTTTGATATTTCATACTTCTGGTTAATTCAAACAAATTTCAAAATTTTGGTTGTCCCACTATGTTCTTAATGTATTTATAAGCCGCTTAATTCGAATGGCATTTTCGTGCAATTCATCCTTTTTGTTCCCGCGGCGTTGAGTGCACTTCTTTCCGAGCAGCGGTGCACTGCATATTAGAGAGCCTCAAGTAAGAGTGTGTTCAACTCAAACCATGGAGAGCATTTGCAGTTTAATGGCGGCATTAGAGATAGCGGATTATACCCTTTTTTGCTTTTAAAAAATGCTTATCCTGTCAGAACAAAAATGGTGTTTAAAGAAAAGTTATTGTATTCTTCGCATGAAATATTCAAGCATCTCCTGGGCTGTTTAGAAGCGGAGTTACGTTGAAAAACCACCCATAGCCCCAAGACCCACAGCAAAATTTTGCAAATTAATGGTGCCCATAAACATGTCACCCCAGGCGAGCTGTTGAACACACTCTTGTGGCACTCTACTGCAGATAAGCAGCATCCGCGAAGCTTGCTTCTCCGCAGCGCACCGCTGCTCGGTGAGGAACACACTCAATGGGGCTCAAGCAGAGCACACGAGCTATGAAAACGGGCTCCACGCGGAAATTTCTACAGCAACTTGCGCAGACGCCGTGATGTGGCCGCATGGCATAGGTCCACGTCGCAGCGTCCGTGCAAGTTGCTATGAAAACTGCCGCACAGTGCCCGTTTTCATTGCTCATGTGCCCCCCGCTTAATAGCTCACATTAAAGGGGCCCTGCAATCATATTTAAGCGTCTACCTTTTTTGCGGTTTCCACGTCATTTGGAGTTCGGGCAAGCCAGTGGGCACGGAGAGAGTAACTAAATATCACTGGGTCATATTTTAACCGGACGACGCGGAAACCTCCTCCACCGACGAGGGCGACCCGCGGTACCGAAAGCGCACAAAATGTGACGTATTCGGTCCTGGGCTTACTACTGGTCACAGCTGCTAAAACCTTCCTTTTAGTCGAAATACAAAATATAAGTGGAGCGAACAGTTTCAATTATTTATAAAAGTAGTTTTTGTTCAGTATTTTAGATCAGAAAAGAAACGAATGCAGTTTATAAAGTACGGAAACAAGAAAGGACCCGTCGACATCCCCGCCACCAAGCGGTGGAAAAGGCGGCGCATACTAGAAAGGAGTAGTGGGATCAGGCGCTCATACGGAAAGGTCCCGAATGTACGCGGCGCCGCTGCGGTCGTATGGACAGGAGGATCCGACCGGCTCCGAGCGTTCCGAAGGCCTTCGGCGAGAAGCTTTGTCTTGCGGTTTGGCCGTTTCGCGGTATGGCAGCGCTAAGTGGGGCTCCCATTCTGAACTGATCTTTACCCCGTGTTTGCTGTCGTTCGTGGCCAATGAAGTCTCATGCCGGATTAGTGTTTAATTGCGCAGCAAATGCAATGAGAGCTGCTCTGGCTGCCCGCTGCATACAGTTATCCAGAACATGTTTTAGTAGCGCCCTCTCGCGCCGTCGACACGAAGTGCGGCAGCCGTGAGCGCTCGCGATGAGCCCACTACCCCTCCTCTAGTTCACGGCCACTCAAGCAACCAAGGACGTCATGAGGGAAGTTATTTTTTGCCCGTTTTTGTAATTTTAGTTTGCCTATAACTTTTAAAATAAAGCGAATTTCAAGGAAAGAAAAGTTTCACTAAGCTACTACATTCAGTGCGCTCACGTTCGGTGCAAATTAAGAACCAGTAAAAAAGTCCTTGCAGGGCCCCTTTAAGCTTCTTGGCCTCATAAACAAACTTAATTTTGTTTTGGGTTGTCATGTGCTGTCTAAACAGTCCGAGATAAACAACATTTTTGAGGGATATATAAACTTGTGCCATAAATTTCTCAAATGTTTCATGTCTGGAATACCTGCTTATGATCAGTAGACCTATGAAAGGGAAATAATCAAATATCTGCTTTGTATGTGTAGCCATTCATATGGCCAATCATAATTTTATCTTGCATCATATTTAGATAAACTTTTTGATAATTAAAACTTCCTATAAAACAAAATTTGTGTCTTCCTGAAGTTTTAATTAATGAGAGTCTACCGCAGCCCTGGAGCTGCATACAACTGGCCAAAGGTTTCACAGTGTTTGCAAGATAAAATCTACGCACTATCTACGAGAAATGGTTGCTTATGAGTAGGGCTCCGTGTTTTCACGGTTTATTTTTCTTCAAATTCGGGATTGTTTTTTCAGGTAGTTTTCTTCCCCGTAGATTTGGTGTTTTTTCGTGTCCATTTTCAATATCGCGCAAAAAAAAAAAAAAAAAAAAAGGAATCCGATTCCCCAACCTCCATGGAACATGTGTGTGGCTCGAATACTTCCAAAATGTCCTGGCACCGATAAGGAAAAAAAAAGTGGTAAAGGCTGTGCTTCCGAAGGAAGCATCAGCCTCACAGACAGTTCAGTATGAGCTGGATTCCCATTCAAAATAAAACTGCAGATAGCAGTTTTCTTCCCGTAAAACTTAATCTTCTTCTTTTTTTTTTTTTTTTTTTGTTCAAGGACAGCTTTGATTTGAGGTTTTTCTGTTTTCCCTGATTTTGATATAACCAGCTCGGGGGTTAATTTTCTAGCTTTATCGGTATTTACTGAAAACGTGGGACTTCAATGAATAAATAAATAACATTATCAAGAACCGTTTCAAGCTCATTGCAAAAGAATAGTGCATAAACAATACGGGAATAAACGCATATAGGAACTGTTCCAGGGATA